TTCCTGCTTGTACTCAACTTTTTTATAACATTTATACTTTTTAATTTATTCAGCTTTATTTTTTACAATACAAGTCAATGGGAGCTCAAAGTGCTGAGTCAATGACAGTCCTGGAGTGCCATCTGGTGGTTCATAAAATGCAGCGCAATTGGGACATGCCCCTACATAACTCCTCTCTCTGTCTCCCTCCCCTTCTCCCTCTCTCTTGAAGCTTCCGGAGAAGAGACGGAGAGAATCCAACATAGAGGGCATTGTAGTAGTCAAGTTGCGGGATGATAAAAGTATGGATAGCTTTTTTTAAATCTGCGCGCGATAAGAAGGGCTTCACCTTTGTTAGGAGTCTCAGGTGAAAAAAGCTTGTTTTAACCACTGACCTGATCTGCTTATCAAAATTGAGGCCACTGTCAAATATCACTCCAAGGTTTTTCACGGTATCCATGAATGAAGCGCCTGAAGCACCTAAACTTGATACAACAGCAGCGGGATCGGGGGCTAAAGACAATGTATTCAGTCTTGCTCTCATTTAAATGAAGAAAATTCTGCGATAGCCACTGCTTAATATTGTGAATACAATTATGCAGTGGGGCAAGTGCGTTAGAATCGCATTGTATCAGCGGCACATAAATCTGAACACCATCTGCATAAAAATGAAAATGGACATTGTGCCTTGATAATTGAACAAAGTGGTGACATATATAAAGCTATAGCTGTGCTAGCTGCTTTGTAAGGCTGTATTTAGTTACAACAGTGCTTTGAGCTAAACACTAACATGGGTATGCTAACATGCTGATGTTAAGCAGGTATGTTTTCTTTTCTTTATATCTACTTAGCATGTTAGTGTGCTAATATTGGCTAGTTTCACACTAAACACAAAATACTCCTGAAGCTAATGTTATTTGCTTTACAGGTATTTGTTCATAACCCAAACCACTGGGCAAAGGTTCTAGGTGAAGAGTGAGATAAATTATTACAATTGGTCCTGAGGGTGACATAAATGTATGTGTCAAATTTCAAGGTAGTCCATCTAATAACTGTTGGGATGCATCAGTCTGTCTACAAGAAAGATGAACAGACTGAGGCTGTCATCCTATAGACTCATGTCATTAGTGTGGCTTTTAAAATGTCATTGTTCCACGTATTAACTCACTCTTTATGTTTCCATCCAGTTACACATGGTTTGTCCCAATTAAATGGATGAAGTCAGGTGTGGAGCAGCAGCAGTACTGGCTCCTTCAGAAGACAGGTACAGTCAGAGTAACACCCACTGCTCTTCTACATTAGACCTGCAACACAGGAGTCAACCACTGGCCATGTATTAACAGAATATTTTACAGTTTCAGCTTCTCTTCTTTTTATGTATATTTTTGACTAGACACCAACAGTCTCATGAGAGTGTCAGGAAATGACTGGGTGCTGGCGAACACCAAAGTATCTGGATACTTCAGGGTGAATTATGATCTTGACAACTGGGACCGTCTCCTCTCCCTGCTCAACACCAACCATCCAGTGAGTCACATGGCCATTCACCACAAGACCCAATAAATGGGTTTTCTAAGACTGCAGACACCATGACCCTATACATACAAATACAGTAAGTATTATACTGTTTGCTTCATCACATTAGTTTGGTTGTCTGCTCTTTCAGGCTTTACCAGTTGTCAACAGAGCACAGATCATAGACGATGCGTTCAGCCTAGCAAGGTAAAGAAAATACATATTTAAAGTAACAAACTTGTGAAACACTGTGGGACTACAAAGCACATGGAGAATTTTTTTCCTTTGTACAGAGCCAAAATAATCGCTACAACATTGGCCCTGAGGACTACCAAATATCTGTCCAAAGAGAGAGATTACATCCCCTGGGTGTCAGCTCTGAAAAATCTTGACTACTACATCCTCATGTTTGACCGCACTGAGGTTTATGGAGCTTTACAGGTTAATACTGTTTTACTAAGAATACTGATAGTTATTCTTTTGCAAGTAGAAGGAATGTATAAATGGAAGTATGAATATGAAAATATATTTTTATTTTAGGCATACCTCAAGAAACAGATACAACCACTTTTTGAGCATTTCAAGAATATTACCGATAACTGGACCAAAGTGCCTACAGGACACACAGATCAGTAAGAGTTCTAAGAGTCCTTTTAACAGCTATAGATTATACATATGCAGGTTTTGTTGTTCAATACTGCAGTCTTCACAGTTTCCTTAATCATCCTCTTCTCAGGTATAATCAGATCAATGCTATTAGGACAGCCTGTAGTATGGGTGTGGAGGGCTGCAGGGAGCTAATTAAAAAGTGGTACAGGCAATGGATGGAAAATCCAGGTCACAATCCGTGAGTACAGAATAGTATAAGAAGTCCTTTTATATTATTAAATTTTATATTCACCCCTGATAGCCAGTGAAAAAAATACAAACGATCGTTGTAGCTAACATGCACACTGAATGTATGTGTGGTGTAATTATGTGTGTTTGGTAGCTATTTTTCATTTTCTAATTTACTTAATGTTTACTTTGATGTTGGTCAGGATCCAGTCCAACTTGAAAAGCACAGTTTATTGCAATGCCATAGCTTTTGGCAGTGTAGAGGAGTGGGACTTTGCATGGACAATGTTTCAGAATACCAATCTGGCTTCTGAAGCTTCCAAACTCAGGTCAGGATTGGCCTGCACCAAAATACCTTGGCTTTTGAACAGGTATGTGCAGGATTACATGTAAGTAATCCTTTTTTTGTGGGTGAGACACTTATATATGTACTTTTCCAGTGTACAACAGTGTATAAAGTTTTAAACTGTAAATGTGGAGAATTTTTATTGATCCTTTAGATGACTAATTTAAGTCATTTTCTGTAGCCTACTTTTTCAGAACATGCACTTGATTGAACACTATTAGTTTTAAAGATAGCCACTATTTGACAAAATGATTTAAAGTGAATCTGTAGCTTTACTGAACATTTTGGCAACAAGTACCAATTGCAGCATATATCAATAGCATAAGAAGAAAAGTAATATTGTAACTTAGACTGAATGAAGAAGGAAGCTGGAGACAGAATTTGCCTTTCTGGGTGCAACTGTGTGCCTCATATACCACACGATTCCACAGCGTTGTCTTTTATTATCAGCACACACACAACTGTTTACATGACAGTTAGATCCATTAGTCCCACCAGAACCCTCAGTCATGGTGTCTTCACCCATCTGGCCTGGTCCTGCTCTCCATAACAGAACATGAACAAAAGAGGAACTCAGAAACTCACAGTCTCTGTCCATACGGGCAGGTGGGAGCACCACTGGCACCCCTCTGCCACCCCCACCACACTACAATATGCAAAATGACTCAGAAATGTGTATGCAAAATTGACTAACATTAGCTAATATTAGCCACCATAAGCAAACGGTCACACAAGGTGAAATAGCAGCAAATCCTGAATGCAATAATTTGGCCAAGGATGTGTGTTGCTCATGAGTGTGACATTTCATTAGTTAGAGGGACAATGTAGCACTTCAGAAGTGACATTTCCTTGTACGGTTAATATAATGGCTGGACTGTTTCTGCTAGCTAGCAAAGTCCACACCAACTGTGTGTCTGTGTGACAGCTCAGGCTTTGGTTGATCTCAGAACTCACCAGGTTAAATATTTTCAGCTAGCACTGACCAGTCTTCACTTTAACCAATGCTACCTAGAGTAGCCAATCCATTTTCAAGCAATTGTGCTGGATCTAAAGTTTCTTTGCATTGATCTGAAATAATTAATTTATGATAGTAGGTAGCACTAACAATAAAAGTAATGTCACCCTTTTTACAAGTGCATGCTTGAATATGTTTAAACCAATAAATTATCTATTGTTTCCTTTTGAAATAAATGTATGAAAATAGGATTTTGGAAAGAATTTCTTTGTAAGAGAATGTTTTGGTTGAGCCAGGTATCTGGAGTACACCCTAGACCCAACTAAGATCCGCAAGCAAGATGCCATCTCTACCATCCAGTACATTGCACGAAATGTTGTGGGACTGCCGCTGGCCTGGAACTTTGTCAGAGCAAGATGGAATTACATTTTCCAGCAGTAAGAACTCATACCTCACATGAAAGTTTGGTAGAAAAATTAAGTAGTACTTAGTTAATGACAGAAAAATATATAAGACAGTGAATCCACACAGTAGCTCTCAACTGAGTGTAAAAGCTACAAATTTTGAGCACTGATGTAACTTGTCTGTAACTGCACATGCTGCTATTTGTCCTCCACTTACTTACTGAGTTTGTGGAATATGCAAGCAGTTCTTCAAATCTGCTCTACAGGTACTGTAAAGCTAGCCAAAAAAGTATCTGACAATGAAACAAAGCCAGTTATGGTTCAACTGCAAATATCTGTAGATTTCAAGAGTGTGGTGAGAAACCTGCAGCATCTGGTCTCAGATCAGCCAGAGCTAACTTTTCAGCAACCAGGAGTGAAAGCCAAAGTCTTATATGTTGACAGCAAATTTGCCAAAATGCACAGTTTTTGGATGTAAACTGTACTTTGGCGCTTCCTTCCAGCATGTATTTATTTACTATTAAATGTTAGTTTAAATGAGACATAGATCAGAGTATTACATTTGGCTCTCTGAGTGTTAACCTTTAGCCTACTGCTAATAACTCAGTCTCTTAGTTCTCTGTTACTAGATTATGTTTTGGATCAGCTGAGGTAATAAAGGGATACTTACATATACAGTGGTGTGAAAAAGTTTTTGCCCCCTTACTGATTTCTTATCTTTTTGCATGTTTGTCACACTGTAATGTTTCAGATCGTCAAACAAATTTATATATTAGTCAAAGATAACACAAGTAAACACATCATGCAGTTTTTAAATGAAGGTTTTTATTATTAAGGGAAAACAAAATCCAAAACTATAGAGCCCTGTGTGAACAAGTGTTTGCCCCCCTGTCAAAACACTGGTTTATCGCACCTGAGTTCAATTTCTCTTGCCACACCTGTTCGCAATCAAGAAATCACTTAAATAGGACCTGCCTGACAAAGTGAAGTAGACCAAAAGATCCTCAAAAGCTAGACATCATGCCGAGATCCAAAGAAATTCAAAAACAAATGAGAAAGAGAATAATGGAGCTCTATCAGTCCGGAAAAGGTTATAAAGCCATTTCTAAAGCTTGGGGACTGCAGCGAACCACAGTGAGAGCCATTATCCACAAATGGCGAAAACATGGAACAGTGGAGAACCTTCCCAGGAGTGGCCAGCCGACCAAAATTACCCCAAGAGCGCAGCGACAACTCATCCAAGAGGTCACAAAAGACCCCACAACAACATCCAAAGAACTGCAGGCCTCACTTGCCTCAGTTAAGCTGAGTGTTCATGACTCCACCATAAGAAAGAGACTGGGCAAAAATGGTTTGCATGGCAGAGTTCCAAGACGAAAACCACTGCTGAGCAAAAAGAACATAAAGGCTCGTCTCAGTTTTGCCAGAAAACATCTTGATGATCCCCAAGACTTTTGGGATAATACTCTGTGGACAGACGAGACAAAAGTTGAACTTTTTGGAAGGTGTGTGTCCCATTATGTGTGGCGTAAAAGTAACACCGCATTTCAGAAAAAGAACATCATACCAACAGTAAAATATGGTGGTGGTAGTGGGATGGTCTGGGGCTGTTTTGCTGCTTCAGGCCCTGGAAGACTTGCTGTGATAAATGGAACCATGAATTCTGCTGTGTACCAAAATATCCTGAAGGAGAATGTCCGGCCATCCGTTTGTGACCTCAAGCTGAAGCGAACTTGGGTTCTGCAGCAGGACAATGATCCAAAGCACACCAGCAAGTCCACTTCTGAATGGCTGAAGAAAAACAAAATGAAGACTTTGGAGTGGCCTAGTCAAAGTCCTGACCTGAATCCAATTGAGATGCTGTGGCATGACCTTAAAAAGGCAGTTCATGCCCGAAAACCCTCCAATGTGGCTGACTTACAACAATTCTGCAAAGATGAGTGGGCCAAAATTCCTCCACAGCGCTGTAAAAGACTCATGGCAAGTTATCGAAAACGCTTGATTGCAGTTGTTGCTGCTAAGGGTGGCCCAACCAGTTATTAGGTTTAGGGGGCAAACACTTATTCACACAGGGCTATATAGTTTTGGATTTTGTTTTCCCTTAATAATAAAAACCTTCATTTAAAAACTGCATGATGTGTTTACTTGTGTTATCTTTGACTAATATATAAATTTGTTTGACGATCTGAAACATTACAGTGTGACAAACATGCAAAAAGATAAGAAATCAGTAAGGGGGCAAACACTTTTTCACACCACTGTAATCAAGTTCTCAACCAAACCATAAACATGTGTTATTCAATTTTGCACACTTTGCATGAACCTCTTTTATACAGTAAAGACTACATAATAACAGTGTAAATTCACTATGGCTTTGTTAGACAACCGTTACAAGCTCACCACACTTAACTATTTGGAGATGTGTGCCTGTTGCCGATTTGGTGAACAACAGACTCCTGATCAGTCTGGGTCTGAATGAGGCTCAAATATATTTTGCCCAATATCTCCAGTATTCCCTCCTTGCCATCATATCTTGAGACTCAAGCCCCTTTTTACGGCTAACTAGAAGTTTGGCAAAAAAAAAAAAAAAAAAAAAAGTTGGAACACACACTCTAACAGTGGAATTATATAGTTTTTAATATGTTTTCTTTCTTTGCGGCAAACTGCCATTGTTTTGACCTTTAATCAAGGCGGTTTTTTGGCACAGTGAAGTGATTAGTGCTGTCACCTCAAAGCAAGGTTCCAGATTTGAGCCCCAGCCAACCCAGTGCCTTTCTGTGTGGAGTTTGCATGTTCTCCCTGTGCCTGCGTGGACTCTCTCCGGGTACTCCGGCTTCCTCCCACAGTCAAAAGACATGCATCTTATGTTGATTGGCAACTCTAAATTACCAGTAGGAGTGAGTGTGAGTGTCTGGTTGTCTTTCTCTGTGTGTCAGCCCTGTGATAGACTAGCGACCTGTCCAGGGTGTACCCCGCCTCTTGCCCAATGTCAGCTGAGATTGGCTCCAGGCTTGTTTTTAAGGCTTCATACTTGTTCAACATCACCTGCCTTTGTTTGTTGATGTTACTATTCATAGAAACATGTATCTTTTTAACAAGGTCAAGAGCAGGATATGCGCTCTTTCCTTCTGCTAATTGCTGCCATTACATCCCTACATTTTTAATGTCAACTGTATCCATTTTTGTGCTTTAGGTATGGAAAAGGAATGTTTTCCTTCTCTAATCTTGTCAATGGAATCACAACAAGGTTCTCTACAGAGTTTGAGTTGCAGGAGGTTTGCAGCCCACACAACCACAATGAAACATACATTGCATTTTCCTGAGGATATTTGGATGAAAAAAAAGTCAACAATAAATTGTGTTTTTTGTCTTTTTTTGTCTTTCGCTTTAGCTGAAAAAATTCAAAGAAAGCAATCTCTATGTTGGCTTTGGCTCTGCCACACTGGCCCTGGAGCAGAGTATGGAGAAGACCAGAGCCAACATCAAATGGGTGACAGAGAACAAAGCCACTGTGCTCAAGTGGTTTACTGAGGAGTCCACATGAGAACACCAAGCAAGTCAAGTCTTTTCTTTTTCCTTGTACTGTCACAGATATAAAATGAATGATGATCACTATAATCATGAGAAATAACAAATGGCCAGCCCTTTCTCTTGGTGACAGTTGCACAGAGAACTCGCCTCTTGCCGAGAGTACCTCACTGGAGCGTCACTTTAAAGAGAGAAGCATAAAATAACCTGTGGAATCCTCGTTTCACCAGGTATATCAGTGGTGTAGTGGTAAATAAAGAAGTTAAACCCACATCTCTAGTTTGTAAATGTCACAGAGAAAGCCACTGTAACAATAAATCTTTTTACTTGCATCACATTTATTTTTACTTTATGAAATGCATTAATTTCTCTTTTATTCATTCTTCGTTTTATAAGTTGCTGCTTATTATGATGTATCCAATGCATTTAACATATACAATGAATAAGAGCAGGGGCAGAATGGGATATAAAATCAGCCCTGGAGTTTGACCCTGGGTGCAGCCCAGTGCAGCTTGCATTTAACACTGTGCCCCCTAGCAGGTTGGGTCACTATTGCAAAAGGACTGTGCTGTTGCTACTTCACCAGTCAACAAGGTGTTCAAGCAGTGATAATCCAGAAATGAAGAAAAACTTGGTATCATCTTTTGGAGGCTGACTACCTATGTGTCTAGCTTTTACTGGACAATTGACATTGAGTCAGCCTTCTCACAGAGTATATACTGTATACTGTAGGCTCTGTTTTTCACACATTCTGTAAATCAGAATGAGGGCCTTGTGCCAGCATTCATTGGTGAAATAAAGAAGATTCGTACAGTTAACTCAGCTAGTGTTGCCAGGTTTTTCTTATAACCTAATTTTACCTATCAGTGCTATGCGAGCCAGTGTAGTATTATCACAGACACCAATTATGTCAATTTGATGTTGTGTTAGCTATGGGAATATATTTGTTTCACTTCTTCACAGATCTTTTGTAGTGGTTAAAACAAACAGTATATGTTTAGTAGTTAATTCTTTGTTAACATATTCTTGGTTAACATGTGTTATGGGATATATATATATACAGTATATTAGAATAGACTTCTAGTGTTAGTATAGGCAAATGCTTGTGTAACAAGGAAAGGTCAGCGACCTTTTATTCTCTCTGTGCTGCTCGAAGGGGAAGTCGGATGGTCAGGACTTTCCCAAAAAAGGAGAAGACAGTTAAGGGCTGAGATAATGAGGAAAGAATGCCAGGAAGAGAGAGATGGGAATAAAAAGTAGTAGGAGGGTTGATCAGGAGCTTTTTTGCGTGAAGAACCCAGGGAGAAGTGTCCAGACTACCTGACTTCCTCTGCAGAGTGACAAAAGACTAACAAGGTGATCCTGTCTCCCATGCACAATCATATTTCAATAATATTGTTCAATAAATGATTCTTGGCACTGCAATAATTTTCTCTGTGCATTGATTCTACCCAAGACAGACAATTGGTGTTGTTGGCCATAGGTAGGAGCTGACCAGAGAGGCCCGGCTCCTAGCAGCGGCTTCCTGGGCACAGAGCTGGCTTTTCACAAGTGGCCACTGAAAAAAGTTGCCTTTTTCGTATAATTGATGAATTACTCTCTCTGTGCTGGGGAGTTGCTGTGTGGGTGCCAGTAGGTTTTAAAGATGAGTTTTTTGTCTAAACTAATCTCTGGCTGGCTCTCCCTCAAGTATCTGTGTGGGGGAAATGAGGGCTGGAAAATAGGATCACCGTTACTGACGTTGACATATGACCTATTAACACTTTGTAAATAAGTAACTGTGTGTGATTGTGCTGTTTATGGTTGTTGTTTTAAGGAATACAAAAGAGTAATACAGCCTATTGGGTTCCAAAGGTATAAGTTATCACACATCAGTTGGGCAGAGCTAAAATATGAGCTGGAAATATGTCTGTGGTTGATTACAAATTTAGGGTAAGACTGTAAAGCAAAGTCTGTGCTGTGTTGTGGGTTCTACAGCTGGTTGGCACTCAAAGATTAGTCAACAAGGTTGAATACTCTAAAATATTGTTGTACGTTGACAAGTGAAATTATTGAAGTTTCTGTAGATGTCATGATCCTGCCCCACTGGCTTCTGGTTCCCTGCTTTTACTCTGAAAATACTTCCTGTCCCCAGCTCACCCTGGCTCTCAGAAACTTTACCTCATCACTCTAAAGTGCCTTCACCTGCTGTTTAATCACTCACACCTGCTCACCTCAGTATATAGCAGCTCCTCACGTTGTGTGACCAGAGACCCTGCCTGATCCTTACTATTGGACTGCTACGCCGGCTGTTGACAACCTGCCTGGACTACTGACCTGTGATTCTGCCTTGTCCTCTCTGCCTGTTAGACTGTTTCTCCTGCTCCTGAGCTCTCCCATGCAGACAATTAAACTTCACTCTGTTGTCTCCAAGTACTGGCCTTTTAATCGGGTCCACACCTCTACGTTAACGGAAGCTGCACATGCCACTCCCTGACTGTAGAAGCAGACAGACATTGCGTCCTCACAGTTAAGGTCAGGCTCCAAAGTAATTTAGAGTATTTCATGGTCAGAGACAAGTAAAACTAACCTGTATAGGTTTTGACCTGTATAAGTTAGAAATTGTAACTGCAAGGTGCATGGGAACAGAGCCAAGTGATCTGGACCTGATCAGTGGAGATATAGGCTCTGTGTGTCATGCGGTTTTGTTGGCCAACTATAGAGAAATCCCACTTAAAAGCGCTTTATAAACTATTTAAAAGTCCAGACTTAATTAAATGTGTGGTTAAATATATGCCTGTCTATTGAGATATATTCTTCTAGTATATTGAGAGAATTATGAGTGTGCAGGGTCAGATTGAGTGTGCTGTTGAGAATACATGTATATTGCCTCATGTTTTATGAAATGTGAAAGTGTGCTCAAGACAAATATATAGTGTGTTATATTGAAGGTTTATACAGGCTGAACATATACTGAATACATATTGTGTTATACTACATTGTTCGGGTGTGGTCCGCTCTTTGTGTGTGTGTGTGTGTGTGTGTGTGTGTGTGTGCTGCTCACTCCTTGGATGGGTTTCCACTGTGTGTGTGCCTGAATGCGAGTATTTTATTTTTGTATGTAGAGGCGCGTGCAGGTGGTGTGTAGTCAACAATGTGCCCAGCCTTGCAGAGCTGAAAGCTCTGACATGTGCATGTGAACTTGCTGAAGGCAAGTGGGCTAATGTGTATACCGATTCAGCCTTTGCTCATGGTGTTTGTCATCTGTTTGGTTCAGCATGAAAAGGAAGAGGCTTCAAGAAAGCTGATGGTTCACCTGTGTTGCACTGGGACCAAATCAAGAAGCTGTTAACAGCAATGATGAAGCCTAAAGCCCTCGCTATCATCAAGTGTGCCGCTAATGGTGAAAGATGATTCAGTGGTCACACAAGGATATGCAGCTGTTGACCAAGCAGCAAAAAGTGTTGCCTCTGCAGGTGAGAAAGCCATTGTGGTTGTGCATGACACAGAGGCAGAGGAACAAATAACCCTCAAGGACTTGCCCTGGCTGCAGGATGAAGTTCCAGAAGCTGAATCTCAGCTATGGGTTCAGAGAGGAGCAGTCAGAGATAGTGAAGGAGTGTGGAGGAACCATGAGGGGCTACTCGTGGCTCCCAGTGGTTTGCTGTCTCTGTTGATAAATGAGGCTTATGGGTTGAGCCATGAGTCAAGAGGTGAGGTGTTGCGGAGGATAAGAGAGTGGAATTTTTGGGCTCCAAAGCTGCAACAACATGTGGATGGAGTCTTAAGTCATTGTGAGACATGTCTGAAGTGCAATATTCAACAAGGCATGGTTCCCCCTGCAGAGCACCTCCTGATTCCAGAAGGCCCATTCATGCACTTGGACTTTGTGGACATTGTTAGACCAGTGCAGGGCAAACAATACATACTTGTGGTTATAGGCCGGCTCAGCAGATGGCCAGAGGCCATGCCTGCTAAACATAAAAATGCAGAGACAGTGGCTAAGTTTGTATGGAAGTTTGTCCAAGATTTGACTTGCCCATTAAAATCAGTTCAGATAATGGGAAAGTATTTGTGGAAAAGACATTGACGTGTGTGTTGCAAAAACTAGGGAACAAGCAATGTTATGGAAGTGTGTATTGTCCAACTTCATAGTCTGACATTGAGAGATGCAATGGGATCCTGAAAAACAAATTACTTAAGATTTGCATGAGCACTGGGTTAAATTGGATAGATGCTTTGCCGCTAGCGCTCATGGCATGCAGAGCGAGCACTCACAGAACGCTGGGGCGAACACCACATGAGGCTTTGTTTGGCCGGGCGATGCCTTTGCCAGTCTACAGAGCAGTGAAAGGTCCATTTTTGGATATTTTCACAAATAGCATGAGATCATATGTGAAGCAAATGGCTAACATATACAGGAGTATCTCCTCCCATGTTGTTTTTCTACAGGCTAGTGAGGTCTAGGAGGACGAAGAGCCCAAAGTGAAACCTGGAGACTTAATGTATGTTAAAGTGTTTAGGAGAAAGTGGGACTTTCCTCGAAGAGAGGGTCCATATGAGGTGGTCAGCGCAACTGCCCGTGCAGTGCAAGTGAAAGGTTCACCTACGTGGTATCATCTGAACCACTGTGTGAAGGTCCCTGAGGACACGGACAGTTCAGAGCCGGAAGTGGTGCCAAAGGAGGAAAATGAACATCATCTGGAGCAGCAGCCAGTGTCTGAGGAGGGGAGTGAGCTTGATACTCCTCCTGATAATGATGCTGGTCATGATCCAGCTGTGCTCCCATCCTTTTGACTCTCCAGAGGAGGGAGAGCAAGGGAGAGGTGATGGAGCTGTGGTAATAAGTAAAAGGGCCACAGCTAGGAAATGGCCAGGTGTGCAAGAGTGGACATTGAATGACAAACACTGGAGGTATACGGAAAACAATACTTCGGTTGCGCAGATGTCCAAGCAACCCTGGACTTCAAACACTAGACTTAGACACTTTCAGTTTCTATGTACACTCCGATCAAATACCCGGAAGACGTGTTTGTGGAATCGAGTGGATTTCTGGATGGTGGACCAGCAGACCCCCTGTCTCTTGGGGACCAGATCAGTGTTCTATCAGAGTGAGG